CTGAACCTTGTAACACAGAAGAAGGCAGAAAGATCTGATAATCTAGTCCCACTGGCAACACTGGATAGATGAGTTATTTCTTAAAGAACAGCCAGAACAGGAAACAGCTGAAACCATGAATTTCAGGCTGCCACCCCACCCCAGCAGGAACTTCCAAACCGCCTGTCACGAGGCATCAGCATTGTGTTCACTTTCTTTTCTATGTGAGTTTCTCACCTTGCCTCTCTTCACCCTATTTTCACTTCATGTGAGCTCCCGCTCCAGCTGTGGAGCAGAAGTTCATGGTATTAGCCTGACCATGTGTTATGGATACCACATTGCACTGTGGTCATTCAGTATTCTGTAACGAGTTCCATCAGATTTGCTGCCCTACAGCCATGTCTCCTCTGCTCTGGAGGGTTCCCATCCTCAGTGGGTGAGGCTTTTAAGAACAACCATGAGCAAGAAGAAATTCCCTATTGAGAAAAACACTGGTAGACAATTACATTTGCTTCAAATTCCACAGAATCTCTGAGGTACTAATTTGGGTGGCTCCTCTAGGCTCTAAACCAGCACTCCAGTCCTAGAAAGTAAACTGTCAATTAAGTCCTACAACAACAAGTTTTAAAACTCTCAATACTTTTCTGTTTTAATACTAATAATCATTACAGTTTTTAACCAAATGTCCTGCACCACCTGGCTGTTACTGGCAGTGTTCAAAGCCAGGCTGGATGAAGCCTTGAGCAACCTGTTCTGGTGGGAGGTGTCCCTGCCCAGGGCAGGGGGTCAGGACTAGATGATCTCTAAGGTCCATTCCAGCTCCTTAACATTCTATGATCTTGGTTCCATTGAAATAAGTTGGGGAGAGGTCACAATCAAAACTAGTTTTGAATAAAGCTTGAACATCACAAGTAGAATGGAACATAGAAAAGTCCAGGAATGCAACATTTTTCACCCTGCTGCTACGCTGTACAAGCAGAAATCCCAGAGCAGGGAGAGCCCTTGGAACCAGAGTGCAGTCAGCAGTGCAGTCGAGCAGAAAAACACTTGCTCCCTCACAAGTAGATTGGAGACTGAACCACCACCATCAAACTTTGTCCCTCATGTAGCTGAAACCAAGATAAACAAGCAACATTCCTTGCAAGTTTTAGAATAAAAACTCCTTCACTTAGCTCCAGATCAGGTACCATGGGCAGAGCAATGTCCATCACTAGGCGTTATCATTTCAGACTAAGCACTTTGCTAATCCACATGGAGTTCCACAAGCCTAATCAGTGATTATACACTGTATACCCACACTTCACCAGCCTGGCTCTTATACTTGGTGCTTCTGCTGCTGCCCAAAGCAGGGCAAGGAAGGTTACAGCAGATTCCTTACTAGGAGAACTTCTGGGCAGGCAGAAACACCTCCAAAGGGAGCTAACATTTTCAGAACGTTAGAGCCAGAAACTATTTTTTTTTTTAATTTTTCTTCTAGAGCCAAGAACAGAAAACACCAATCACCTCCGCCTCCTCCACCATCTCCTGGAATGGAAACAAAACTGAAAACCTGCTGACACAGAATCCCAGAGCACTGTGGAAGGGATAAAACAGCCATTTCTGGAGCAGCTCACTTGGGGTATGCAATCATCTGGAAAGAACTATTTAACCCTAGTCTCAAAAGTGACCTTTTCAGGTCAAAGGGCCACAGCTCTGCCTCCCTGCTAAGTTGCACAGAGATCTTTCTGTAGATGTAGATTTTCCATCCACCCCCATCCCTCGGAAAGCAGCTGGTTCCGATTTTTATTCCTTAGCTTGGATTTAAAAGAACAAAGAAAACCCTTTTTGAATTGCATAAACATACAAAAAGTAATTTGACTTGGCACTGGAGTCTTTAAGCCCAGCATGCAAAGTAACAGCCAAGGTCTCCCTGTCCTCAGTGTGTTTAGAAAAACTGAACTCCATGCACCCATGTGAGTAACCAAACCAGATGTGCAGCAATGAACTAGCTGGTTTGTTCTGGAAGTGCTGCCTTGGTCACTTGGCTTTGTGTTACCACCTAGACCAGGATATTAAATTGCAAGGTTCAAGGCCCATAAACCAGTGTTGACTATTACAAGCTAATATTTTTTGATATAATAATGACATAAAAGTTATAATCTGACTACTTATGACCTGTCCAAACACTTGTTTTAGGTGAAACTATGGATATTCCTCAACAATATCCAATTCTAGTTCCTGACTGAAGAAAACTTTGAACATCCATATCTCTCCTGCGAGCTAGTTTGTTGCAGTACTTTCCAAAAACTTGCTTATAGGGCAAAAGAACAGCAAATACTGGTGGCAAAACTGAGGCACTTAACCTTGACTAGACTAATATTTTCAGTAACCATAACTCCTGCTGATTGTTCTGAGAATAAAGAAGGTCTAAGATTACTGAGCAGGTCAGGAGGGATTAGCTCCACAAGGGAGGTACCTCCCTGGCAGATCCAGGGCTGCAGCTTTGCTCTTCATCAGCAGTGATGGGTTGACATCCACTGCTCAATTCATATATTACTCCACTAGACTGTGGCTTAAAATAAAAAACCCTACATTTTGATTACCTTATAAAACTTGCATTCATGTGTAGGAGCTTGAAAAGCATTCAGCTGTCCCCAGGAGATGCAGACTTGAACTCTTCTTGTTTTGTAGTGAGGTGTTGAAGTAAATGTCTTAGTTTTTGAAAGGGCTTTCTGTACCTCAAAGTGCAAGAAACCTTCAAGGGAGTCTAATTTGTGTTAGTAAAATCCAGTTGAAAACTATGTACCACTGGAGTTCAGCATTTGGAATTCAAGTTGAGTTAGAATTGCATTTCTTTCTGGAAGAACAAGTTAGCACAACTGGAAAAAAAGAAGTGCTATCATTGGGTGAAAGCCAAGGCCAGGCACTGTCCAGTTCTAACTCTGTGCCTGCTGAAGTGAGTGTCCTTGTATAAGAAACAACATCTTCCCTTTGTTTAACAGTGCAGTTGACAAAAACACCCTCGAAGCTGGATTTTGAAATTAAACAGTGCCAGAACACGTAGACAATTAATAGTCCTCCACCTTAGCTAGTGGGAGCAAGGACTGAGACCAGATAAACTTGTTTTCCTTGTGATCACCAGCTGTATAAGAAGGCTGGCAGCTCCCTGGCATTAGTCAGTGAAAAGGTTTGTTCTCTATTTGGTTCTTCTACAGCATAAAGCCTGGAGAGGTTGAGCCAGAATGTCTTCTGAAGGCTTTCTGAAGGAAATTCAAACCATTGGTAAGAAGCTTCTCCTTAAGCTCCAGAAACTGCCCAAGGCTGAGCCAGTGGAGATTGTGTGCTTTTGTGTGGTCCTTCTGTTTATTGGTGAGTTTATCGGTCGAGATCAAGAGCTGTCAGAACTTCTCTTCTCTTCTATGGGGGCAGATTGCTCCACACTCTTTGTTGGTGGGTTGGTGGTGTGGGCAGTTGTTTTCCAGGCTGTGCTTTGAGGCCCAGGTTGATTTCCAGATAATTCTTTTAATACTCAGCATGTATCTCTACATGGATGCAGAGCATGACAGACAACAGTACAGCTTTGCCCAAAGCTCTCAAATTCAAGCTTTAAGCAGCAGTGTTTTAACCAACCCAGAGCTGCTGTAATGTTTTCATGCATAGGAGGTAGTTTATGACAAGTGGTAGTAGGGCATCTCCCTTCCACAGGAGACACTGAAGTGAGACTATGAGTGTCATCCCTGTGCTTGGCCCAGTGGAAGCCAATAAAGCTTCAGATGAGCCTATTTATTCTCCTCTAGTAATGGCAAGATCCCTCCTGCTGCTCTGTGTGGGGATGGCATGGAAGGAATAACAAAGAACTGCTTGATCGAGGGGGATGAAGTTTGTTTATACAATAGAAAAACAAGCAGGAAGGAAGACAGTCCCTCCTCCTCCTCCTCAAAGGCAAGGTTTGCTCCCAGCCAAAAGGAAGGGTGTGTATCCAGCTGGACACTCCTCCCCGGGCTGGAATTCAGAAAGTCACACCTGCTGCTTTATTTTGTTCATAGCTACAGCTGGTTGCCCACAGGTCTGGTTACCTGGCAGCCCAGGCCCACACTTTAAAGGAACATATGCACACACACATGCATGTTCACACACTCACATGTATTGCAGGATTAAACATGTAATCCTTTTCTATTCCAGATACACTAACATACCCTTCCCAACACCAACCGTCACGGCTAGAGTAGAATTAAGTTAGCCCACTGCTTTGTGAAACAAAACTGTGTTTGAAGTATCTCTTTTTTTCAAGAAGAGTAAAAGCCAACCCAGTCACAAGGATCTGTCCTTAAAGGGTACACTGCACACACTTGTCAGAAATACAACTGCCAGTTTGACTAACCAAACCCTCTCGAGTTGCTTCTGACAGGACTATGGGGAAAGTTGGATCTTCATCCTTTCCAGGCACACAGATCTGCTTAGGTACTGCATGTCACCTCCAAAACAACAGCCCATTAGGCAGGCAAGTAAAGATGAACCACCACGTGGTTTGGTATATAGCTCTTAAGACCTTAAAGTATCTGGTGATGATTGTCCAGATTAAATGGATAACTAAGGGAGCAGGAACATGGGAGGGGCAGATATAGGGCAAAAAAGTTCACAAGAAACCAGGGTTTGTTCATTTTGCTGCTCACCAACTTGGAGGAGCCATAAGGTTACTCTGCAGGGATTGTTATGTCATGAATCAAAATCCTTTGCTTCTCTTTGCAGCTACTGTTCTGGTACTCATGATCATTGCCTGCAGTTGCTGCTGCTGCAGCTGCTGTGGCTGTGATGGACGTCCTAACCACAGACGTAGGAAGGCCCAAGTGCTCCCAAGGACTTCATGAAGTGCAATGAGGTAACACAACCTATCATCGAGGACATGCATGGACATCATGATTCAGTCCTATGGGAATGACTTTCCACACTAGCTCACTGAACATGGCAATAACAATATTAATGAATATGACTCAGAGGACCAGAAATCACGGCGTAGAATCCCTTCTCTCTGTGACAGCCACTACTGTGACCAGAAAGATAAAGCTCCTTTACTGTCTCCTTCTTCTGGGATGGGGTGGGGTGGTGGGGCATGGACACAAGCTGCTGAGAGAGACAGACTTTCCCAAGGACAGCCCTGCAGCTGGGCCAGCCAAGGATCCCCTCTGTGCACAGAGAGCCACAGACCAAAGCAGAGGACGTGTACACTGCACATTCCAGGCAGTGCCTGCTCTCCTCATGAGTGGCTAATCCAGAAGGTTGGTGCTGGGTGTTAGCAAAACCCACTGAAATCATGGAGAGGTTCACATGCTCAGAACACTGTGGATCAAGCCCAAACCTGTTCTCTCCAAAGCCAGCTGCAACAGACATGTTTAGCTGAGATATCTGCTGAGAACAACAACTCATAGACCTTTTGATCCAGACGTGCCAGCTGAGGCTCTGAGTACAGCTGGTAACAAATGCTCCAGGCTTCATTTCATCAGTGTTACCAGGATGTGAAATTGCCAAAGAAAAAAAAACAGATCATGTGGAATACTCTTTGTAAACAGAAAGCTGAAGGAAAAGGGAAAAACTCACCAACACTACAGCTTATTTGCTCACTCTGCTGCTAGACATGCTCCCTCCTCGCCCCCGTGTGGTTCTACTCTTCTGCTTATTGCAGGTGAATGGTTCTTGCAGGGCACGGGAGCTACAGGAGATAAACAAATCCCTATCCTCACTGGAGGGACTTGTGTGCCTGACTCCCTGCACTGTGTGCAGTTTATTTTAGTGGACATAAACATTATGCCTGGGGTATGTTTATGAGCATGCACAAAGGCATTTCAGAGGAGTGACATATGCTGTGGTAACCGTCACTTCAGGGTATGCTGCAGCAGCTTACAGTGGGCACAGTGACAAAGCAGAGCCAAGAATGGGCTGTATGACTGGAGTTAACAAGTGCAAATAAATCCCTTTTCCATGCTGCAGCCACTGTGTGTGTTTGGTTTACACTCGGGTGAACTTCCGAAAGGGATCTGTGTACGTACAAGGCTATGGTGCAGGACATGACTTTTCTAACTGGGACAGCCCCATGAAAAGCCAAATACTGCACCTACCAAAGCCACTGGGCTTGCAGCCCCAAATGTGAGACCAGCCACCTTTGTGAGAAGGTATAAAACTGACATGCATATAGGTAAGTCATCTTCTGCCCCGATTCCCAATTGCTAAGTGCAGAGAAGTCAAAGGGATTACACATGTATATGCCAAAGCCAACATCTAGCTAGAGAGAACAGAATCACCAAGTTTATAACTGTGAGCTTTTATATATTCTTTACACTTCAGAAGGGAGCAAACAGGAGAAAGCTTTGTACAGAAACTTCTTTCTCTGATGCCTACACCCAGATCAGTAAAAAAGCACATTAGCTTCTTATGTATTTAATACATTTTAATTTTTGCAAACAAATCAGACCTGGGTGTTTGCATTTTTGTACTGCTGTACACTGAAATATATCTGCAGTCAGCAATACAGAGAATAGTCTAAGAATAAGAAGAAAAATAAAATTCCTCCAACTATGATTGTTACCTTTAAATTAATAAAAATTAAAACCTTTCCAGCAGAAGATGAGGATGTTCCTTAGAAAGTAGATATCTGAGCCCCAACTCGACAACTGCCAACAGCAGACTGCACTAGTATGAGCTGCTGCATGCCCGGTTACACTGAGACTAGCAAAGCTCTGGCCTTTATTAGGCTGTCCCAAAACTTTCACTGCCAACCAACACGTTAGGGTAGAATCAGCTCGAGCATTCAGAGGTGCATCACACCAACCTCTCTGTCAGATACGTCACTGCATCACACTAACTGTCAGATATGTCCCTGCACATTTCACTCACAAACAAGTGGCAATCAAGGTGACATGGGAAGTCTGAGAACCTCTTTGGCAGGAGACAGACTCAACAGATGTTTCTGTATCTAAATTAAGTCACGAGACCTGCGAATGAACAGAGCTCACTTTCTAGCTTGTGCTAGACAGTGCCAGCTACAGACATTAACAGAATCCCATTGAGAACTGTTTCAGCAGCATGGAGCCAGGCTGTGCTAAGTCAGGAGGAAGCTCAGCAGGCTGGACACATCCCAACAACTGACAGGTTGCTGTCACTGGGAACAAGCTGCCAGGCCTTATCTCAACAGGAAAAGCTACAAATACGTGTTTCCTGGTGACGGTACAAGTTCAACCAGTGACAGATACCAGGCAGGGGGACAAGAGAAATGGCTCCTGTCTTATCTCTGCCACTCTCATTTCCTGAATTAGAAACAGAATAAACACAGCACTGTTAAAGAAAGAGAAGGAAAGAAAATGAAGCAGTTCTCTAAAGGATTCAGGTGCCTTTCTGGAGCAGAGGAACAGCCACCATGTAGAGGACAGGTCCCTGGACCAATTTCTACATACTTGTCTGGACCTCACAAGCCTAATGTTCTGCTTTGTACTATTTTCTACCATTGCACTTGGCTGGAATTTAGGTATGCCAGTTACCTGCCTGAGCTGGGTGGGGTCTGCTGCTTTAACAGATCAGGATTGCCTGAAAGATGCCCAGCAAGTTCCCAGCTTACTGCAGCTTTTCAGCTTCTGTTGACTACAAACATGCTGGTCCCTGCTCACCACTCACAGAAGCTTTTGTGTTTATGGCTTCAATTAGTAATCATATATAGGGACCTATGGGGAGCATTAGTGGAATGGATCCTCTGTTTCAAACTGCAGGGGGAGAGTCAGAAAAGCATAGACTCAAGCTAGTTGCTTTAAACACAACTTCTGTATGTGTTGTGAAAGCCTGAGTGAACCTAGAAGGAACTGCAAGGGAATACCATTACTTCAGTCCTGATGCTAAAAGTGTTGAAATAGATTCCTTCCCTGAGGAACCTCAAAAAGCCAGCAAGGCCAGGCTCCCCAGCAGAAGTGGTTGAAGATCTACTAACAGCTTAATGGAATAGCTTCTGTTTTGTAACATTATCCCTCTGGTTTCGAAGTGGTTTGCTTGGCTTGTGAAAAATAAGTTTCCTTTTACACGCAGGCAGTTTCACACACCACACTCCTCCTTCTCCCCTCCCACCTCTCTCCAGCACCATCCCTCTGGTCTCATTCAGTCTGGAAAGCAATAGAAAGTCAGTTTTATTGCAGCTAACAGCAGTGCAATGCTCTGCCATGTGTTCACCTAAATGGTCATGATGAATTTTGGACTCCTGTTCACAGTCTCACTTTAGGTATGGCAATTTCCTAATGGAGTTTACAATACAGATCCAGTCAGGATCCAGGAAACACAGCCCAATTCTCTTCAGCACACACTCTTCACCTGCAGCCTTCCCCAGACAGAGGACATAGTGGGCTTTTACAAGCACTGCAAGGGGTGTAGAATACATTCATGGAGAGGAAGAAATGTCTGAGCAACAGCTGAATTAGGACTTTGATTAGATTAGCCACACCTTTGCAGGAAAATCAGCTCTTAATCATTAACTGCAGCACAAATAGATCACTTCCATGGTAGCTCTGCAAGTCTCCAGGTACAGTAAGGGGTCCCTCACTGCCGGCCAAGATCTCTTGGAGGGGGTGCAGAGGAGGCAGCAGGAGAAACACCTTCTACAAACACAACAGCTTCAGGTATTTATAACATCTCCTACAGCTCTCCTATTTCAGGAGATTAACTGTGGTTAGCAGAAGAGACAGGAACTTTCTAGGGTTTCTGCCTTTGGGTCTATGGAACTAGTGTCTAGGCTGCCTGCTCTTTGGAGGCAAAGGAAGCTATTCAGAACAGCTCTCATGTCCTGTGTGGCTGTGTGTTAGAGTCTGAGCATGGTGATCCACATCATGCCAGAAAACAAGGCATGGAATGACTATATCTGGCTGCTGAGAAAGAAACAAAAACTTCAACAAGTATGAGCTTGTGCTTCTAATCAAATCTGACCTGCCGAGGATGCTTTAGATCCTTCTCCTCACAGTATTCAGGATACACAGGGGGCAGCAAGTCAAACAAATTTTCAAAAATAATTAACATCTCATTCTGTAGTATATCTGCACAATCTTATTTGCAAGAAAGTGTGGGAAATATTCCATCCTCTCCCTTGAGCAGCAAGGAAGCTTTAGTAAAACCACAAGATGCTCACAAAGACATGCTGGATGTTTGTCAGAAACAAATGCCAAAGTCATTAGGCAAAGTGTCTGTGAAAGAACAAGTGTGTAGAACTCACTGAGATCCAAGGTGAAATTATTGCTGGACCTAAGTACTTCATGAGAGGAAAACTTAGGCTTCTATTGCAGAGTAACAAAAGGCACTACTAAAGCAAACTCCATTAGCAGGACACCCTTTTAGATGTAATTAATCTAAGCCCTATGGAAGCAACAAGTTGTACAAGAAGATCCTTCCTTATTGTTCATGGGATTTTTTGTTAGTTTTTAAGTGTTCATTTAATCTCCAGTGTATCCTCAGAGTTTAACTCCCCAACTCCTTTTAGAGATCTTTCCAATGGTGTCAAGGTAGTTTTCCCACTGAATACTTGTCATTTCTGTCCAGCTGACAGAGGCAAAGGGTTCCTACTGAACATGCTGGAGAGACATGACAGTATATTAAATATTGATGAACTATGATTAAAATAAATCTCAACTGCCAAAATCTTGTAAAGCCAGAAGCTTTTCCCCTTTACATCTCTCTAGATCTGATTGTAAACTGGTCTCAGCTATATTTCTTCTGGTTTGTGCTCCCATGTCAGTGAAGGGTGACTCTCCTTTTGGAAGGGGAATCCCTGCAGGCAGACACAGTGTGCACACCTGTACTGGTTCTGGGACTGTGACTCAGAGCTTAGAGAGGATACACCAACACCTGATACTGTTCTTGTCTACCCCTAGCAGGGAGGAAGACAGCATGGCACCAGCACAAGAGGCATCCTCTGTCCTGGAACACCTAAAGGGACTGATTACAGCAAGTGACTGGGCTCTTGGAGGGTTGGTGGTGATTGGCATCTTCTGTCTTGTTTTCCTTGCTCTCATTTTATTTGCTGCCATCTTTGGGTGCTGCTCATCTCCAAGGCACAGACGGACTAGAGCATAGTGGAGATGTGGGACTTGGAGCCCTACAGCTAGGCAAGGATCAGCCCAGCTGCAACCTGACTGTATGGTTCACAGAATCCTCCCTCATCTTCTCTCCCTAGATGGTTATTTCTCCCCATGCAACTTTCCTGCATCAAGAGCAATATCCCAATGCCAGCAAGTTGTTCTGCAGGTCCACAGCAAATTCAATACATCAGGGTGTCTGTACTCAGGAACTGTGTGATTAGCCAAATACCAAAGTCAACTCATCTCTGCCTGATTTTCATCTTTCAATCAAAACCACCAGTAAGAGGTGGCAAATGGTCAGCCACCACCTAAAACTGATAAAGATGTTTTCTGCTGCTGCAGCTACATGGTTTGAGTTTTTTCACTTTGCAAACAAGCAACAGGAAATTCTGACCACTGAAATCTTTCTCTAAACCCACTCTTTAAAAGCAGCTTGTACCATTGTTCTCTTGTCATACTCAGACAACAGCCTAAATATACTATGCAAAAACTTGCTTGCCAGTACACAATCTGTCTTTATTTGTTCTTATTTATAACCTTGCAAGGTCAGAGTTTCAGATTTGCTCTCACTGTTTGGATAGTGAATAGAAGTGTAGGAATTCAATATGTAAAAAAGAAATGCTACATGTTGTTCCTTTCCATACCATGTTAGGCTCCTGTGCAGTTGTGAGCAGGGAAGCCACTCAGTGGTGCTGCAACATGTCACTCTGGGAGGCACATGGCATGTAATACAGTAGAAAGAATGTACCAAGGTGAGGGAGGGAAGAAAAAGCATGGGAGATGTCATTTCTAATTAGCTCAGTGATATTCCCTTAGTCTGATTATTACTGTGGTGGTGAGGCACAGTTTGCCCAGAGAAGCTGTGGCTGTCCCATTCCTGGAAGTGTTCCAGGCCAGGTTGGATGGGCTTGGAGCAACCTGGGCTAGTGGATGATGATCCTGTCCATGGCAGGGGGGTTGAACTAGATGTCTTCAAGGTCCTTTCCAAACCAAACCATACTATGACTATCCAAACCCCAGATACAAACAGCCATCTGTCCACTCCCTGTGAGCTGGTAACACAGACCAGAAGGAGCAGAGCTGCTTAGCCAAGTGGATCAAATTCCTAGAGCAAGAAGCCTTCTAGTAGCTACTTCACAGCATCACCTTGACTTTGGGCAAGAAAGTGCTCCTTCAAGTGCCTCTGGACTCAGTGCTGTGCCATACTTCAGTACTAGCCAAGACTAGCCCATGAAACCAGGATTTGTTCACCAAACACAACAACAAGGAGAGAACACACTCACCAAGGCATCAGAAAAGAAGCACTTGTTACATTCATACTGAAAAAGTTGTCCTAGACACAGGTATGAACAATGAAAATGCAGAACTTGTAAGCAAGACACACAAAACCCATTTTCAGTTAGTGAACACACACTGACTACTCTCTTCCTGGCAAAATTGTAGCTCTTATGTCTTATCCAGCACAGAACAGCAATTAGTACAATTACAGCTTTACAAGGCATGAACTAAACCTGAACAATGCACGTTGTGGTTGCTAGTCTGCATTTAGATCAGGCACATCCATAATTTGGGCCTGTGTCTGAATCACCCTAAGCACCATCATCTCGTCCTAAAGTCAGTGAGAACCACAGATACCTAGTACTTTGCAGAGTGGAGACATGGAGAATTACAGAAACATTAAGTGCTTCCATCCCATGCTGATTAGGCTGTCTTTTTGTCTCCTTAGATAACAGGTGATGTAGTGAAGGAGGAAAGAGTCAAAACAAAAGCAAATGTCAACCCATCATCAAAGACAGAACACTGCAAAATTCATCACCAGTGAAGTTATAGTTTAACATCCACATGTCACTTGATCAGGCTCCAAGACCAACATCTAAGTTAACTCACAGGGGAGGAGTGATGAAAGAACTCTCAGGGACACCTTCCTCAGTCCAGACAGCAAAATATCAGGCAATTCATTCAGTATTTTCTTTTTCCTGGCCATGCAGAATCTCAGCCACAACAGTCAGATAGGGCATGGTTTCCCCAACATTAACAGTAGTGTTTGAAAGAAGTGCACTCACCCCAGCTCCTCACAGAAGTTCACAATGGCATCAAAAGCTCTCATCACAGCCTTGTCAGATTCTTTTAAGGTGCCTTTCTTTTCCTGAAACCAGATGAGGACAAGAACTATAGTCTTCAATTTAAATATAGACAGATAAAGTAACTATAGGAATGACCAAATTCAACCCTTCTGATCAATATGGCAAAGAGGTACAGACACCTCCCTGTCTCTGCTCCACACTTTTGCTCACCTATGCCTCTCTGATAGAGCTGGGTTTGGCAGCCCTTTCCCTTCCTGCTATCCCTTGAAACAGGGCTCCAGACAGCTCCAGATCCAGAAAACCTCATTTCATCTTTGATTATTCAGAGGTCACTGCAGACAAACCAGACCAGAGCAAAGGCAGTGTATCAGGCAGGAGGACACTGTTCTGCAGCTCTTACCTGGAGGTTGGAGAGCTCCTTCTTAATCAGGAAGCTGACTTGATCCCGGTCATTCCTTGAGTAGTAGAGGCGGCAGCAGGATGGTTTCCCATCTCTCCCAGCTCTGCCAGACTCCTGGTAATATCCAGCCATTGACTTGGCAATATTCCAGTGGACAACAAATCTGCATGTGATGAAAGAAGAAACATAAGGCTACAGGTTTCTCAGAGCACTGCACACACATTTGTGGTGTTTGTGGACACTAACAACAGTAAAAAACAGGGCAGAAAAGCGTAAAAAAGGATTGAGCTCAGCAAAGGATTTTGCATACACAAGTTTATGTTCTGTCAACATGAGACACGTGGAAAGCAGCAGAGCTGTAAGAAAATAAATGCACCTGAACAACATGTGAGCAGGATTATGCTCCAAATGGATGAGAAAGGAATGAGCACATGAACATCCCAAATGTGCATACCACTGTGCAGCTATTAAGACTGAGATTAAAGACACTGAATTAAGGAGTTTGGGATATTTTACCATAAAATACAGCATTAAGAAACAAGTTGTATTTATTTAGTGGAACACAATTCACCATTACAAAACACATTTTGAAATACTTAACTTTAAAAAGATATTTCTTTGCCAAAGTCTGCATGGGAAACTGTCTCACTGATGAAGGCACTTTCTGAGCCAACAAATATAGAGGAATCATTACTAAGTTTTATGTAATCAATAAAGGAAGGTTTTCAACACACCACTGCAAGACTGCTTTAAACCTGATGTGCTGGGCGCTAAAATAATAAAAAATTATAGTTTAATAGAATTTAAACCTGGTGGCATCTGTTTTTTAAAGAGATTTATGGAATCATAATGTAACAAAGCTGCTCATTTTACTGAGTAACACAACATTTCACCTGTCAGAAGTGGGATTTAAAGCATCACTCCATACTTTGTTTCTCTGTTAATGGTTCTGTAATTTTTTTTACACTCAAAATAATGTTGTGGGCAAAAATTGAATATACTTCACACGTAGATTCAAGAACTTATTATTATCTTAATTTAAGATCCAACAGCCTAACAAAAATAGAACATCATTATTAGTCCCTCTCCACTTCCATTACTATTATTGTTATTATTATAACTATTATTAACCAATAGTATTGTATTCTACTTTGCTTACAATGATTAAACTGTTCTTATCTCAACCTACAAGTCACTTCTGATTCTCCTCCCCATTCCACCGAGGTGGGGTAGCAGGGAAAGTGGGGAGGAAGAGAGAGATAAGGGAGTGAGTGAGTGGCTGCATGGTGCACAGCTGCTGGCTGGGGTTAAATCATGACACCCGATTATTCAACAATTCAGTTTATACCTGTTCTGAGAGGATTTTAGCAGTGTGGTAACACTGCCAATGTTTCAAATACCAATCTGCCTCCAAGCCAGCGTGTGCCAGGGGTAGCTATGATGCATATGGGTGTAGCAAAAGATTGAATGGCAAAAGCAAGCAAACGTGTTTGTTCAAAAACAAACACCCCAGGAACAGGCCAAGCAGGAAGCATCAGAACCCTACACATTTAAAATCTATCAGGAAGTTTACTGAAGAAATTGATAATCTCCAGCATAACTGAATTAACAGCGAAGAGAGGGGAGCAGATTCCATCAGAAAAAGACACCACCTCTGTTTTCCCTTATGTCCAGAAGAGTCATCTCCAGAAGTTGTCAGACCTGACCTTATTTGACAACATGAATACTCAGAAATCTGCCAACACAGAGCAGAGGCTAAGCAGCAGTGCCTTGTTAACTAGGCTTGGGTATAATATCCTTTAAACTATTGAAAAAATCCTGTAAAGAGTCGTTTTAACTCCATTCCTTGGAAACTAACCATATTCCAAGCACGTTTTAGATACATTTCGCTCCCAATCAGCCCTAAACATTTCAGTTACTCTTTGTCTTTAACAGCCACTGAACAGGGCAGAGTGGCTTCAGCAGGTCATCAGCTCATGCTGCTGTCCTAGGAGACTTCTCAGTTCTCTGTTGGGTAACTTGCATCAAGGAGTACAGTAGTCTGTCAGTGCTATGGGATCGTGTTTCCTGGCAGCACAGTGACAGACAGGGATGGCACAGTTGTGAACTGATGGGATTGTTTCAGTGCTGTCCTGTCCCACAGTGTCCAGAGAAACTGCTTGATGTGGATTTTAGAGTAAAGATCAGGTCTGGGGGGTGTTGTGTGAGCTGCACCTGAATTATCCCCTCTACTAAGTGATCACAAGACTAACTCAGCACAGCTATACTGCGGGGCAGAAATTCTAACACGGAGACCTTACGGTGACCAAAGTCCCAGAGGAACAGCAACTGAAACATATGAAAAGTTTCTACCCTTGGACTAGAGTTGTATATGGTTATTGCCATTTGTGAGCTATTTTTTCCCACTGCACTGCAAAAGGAGATCTCTAAAAAAACAGCTGGCTCTGACTATTTTAGTAGAGGATGCATGAATTATTTTGGGTGCAGATTTTCTTCCCACTGCTTTTTAACAGCAGTTATTGAAGTAAGAGAAGTGAAAGAGACAGCTGTGATTGCATAGACATGGCTCTTTCTCAGACCCTGGAGACAAAACAAGCATTCCTCCAAATTTCCTGCTTTTGAGGATGACTGGCAAAGAGGAGCTGTGCTGCCTTGTGTTTAGTTTCTCTACAAAGCTCTTCCAGGTTTTTCTTCACTGCTTCTAAGATAAAAACCCTCCAGCTCTGGTTTTGTGGGATTTAGCAAGTGTTCATCAGCCATTTGAGTCGGGTGTATCAGGTAACAGAGAGACTGAGACTTTTCCTTCCCACTGCTCAGGTTTCAGTCTCTGGTGGTGCACAACACTCAGATTCACACACCTGACATTTGCTTTGTCTACTCCCATTCCAAAACTGATGGTTGCAACAATTACAGGGATCTTCTCCTCCATCCATTCATTCTGGATTGAAGTCCTGTCAGCTGCCTTGAGTCCTGGGAAGGGAAAAACAGGGAAGGAAACAACACCACACACACACACAAAAAAAAGAAAAGGAAGATGAAACAAGAGGATTTTATTCCTCCTCCATTTCCCCACTGCAAGCCAAACCCCTCACTAAAACTGACTGATGTACACACTCCTCTCTGCCCATGTTTAAACTGGCCTGTGACCAAGCAGAAGTTAGCAGCACCTGTTTCTATTCCAAAGGGAAAAATTTAGTTCCCCTCCAAGGATAAAAGCAGTGGTTATATTTAGGCCAGGCAAGATCCAATAAAACCCAACAGTTCTGGAGACAAGGGAACGTCATTCTGTTGAAAGTCCCACACGTAACTCACAGACCTGATGTCTCAGCATCAGACACAGAGCAGACTGTGCCTAGGAAACTGTTTTCTAGGTAGCCCCACCCCAGGCCTTAAAGGTGGCACAGTTCAGTTCTACCAGCTACTGAGAGATGCAGATGCAGCTTCCAGTACCTGCATGATAGGCCTTGGCCTTCAGCCCTCGGTAGCTCAGTTCAATCGCCAGCTGGTCACACACATCCCTCATCCTGCAGTACACAATGCCACAGCCAGAGTACACCTGGGCAGACAGGAGACAAAGACCATGACACTGTCTGAAGTTTGCAAATACAGTCTCCCCATCCTGGGCATTCAGGTTGCCCAGGGAGGCTGTGGCTGCCCCAACTCTGGCAGTGTTCAATGCCAGGTTGGGTGAAGCCTTGAGCAACCTGCTCTGGTGGGAGGTGTCCCTGCCCAGGGCAGGGGTTGGGACTAGATGATCTTTAAGGTCCATTCTAACCCCTTAACATTCTATGATTTTATGATCCTCTCCCAGCAGACACAAGGCAAGCAGCAGCCTCACTCTGCCACACAAATAAACTCATGTGCAGAGGCTGTAGCTGAGCTGCTGAGAGTTATTTGGGGAATTAGTTCAGAGCAAGGAATTCAACACACTTCAAGTGCTTCTGTTCACCCTCAGCACACCAGAAGAGCAGAACACAATCAAACATACAATGATCACTCAGGATGTGACAAACCAAGGCAGAAATGCACACTGCATGTTCCTAACCCATTTTTTTTTAAAACAACTCCTTTCTGACTTGGAAACACCTTGGAAAAGAACAGAGCCTTCACATTCTGCCTGTTTTAGAGGAACTAAAAACCATGTGAGCACTTTTAGAGGACCTAGAAAATATACATGAGCAC